AGATATATATATATATATATATATATAATATTTTAGGGTTGTTAATTAAATAAGAGTATTTTTTAGTTGGTACATTTTAGCAAAGTGTACAAAGTTTTAATGAAAAAAAAATCCCCATTCAAAGAAAAACATACTTTAAACCCAATGGTATTTTAATAATTTTAATATTTGATTTAAAATAAAAGTTAGTTATTTACAATCCATGACATAATAATTACCTTTTATTCTTTTATTTTAAAAAAACCCTAAACCCTAAACCTTAAACTCTAAACCATAAACCATAAACCCTAAACTATAAACCCTAAACACTAAACCATAAACCCTAAACTATAAACCCTAAACCATAAACCCTAAACCCTAAACCATAAACCATAAACCCTAAACACTAACATCATGATTGTTGCCACGTAGTTATTTATCATCCATGATTGCTGTCACGTGTATTAGTAGTTATTACCTTTTATTATATATTTTTTAAAAGGTAGTTGGTTTTCAAAATAAAAAATAAAATAAAAGGTAGTTTTTTTTAAAACAAAAAATAATAACTAATAAGGATGATAAATAACTAACTTTTATTTTTTTATTTTAAATTAAATATAAAATTATTAAAATACAGTTTAAAGTATGTTTATATATATATATATATATGGGGTTTGCTAATCCGGGTACGCTTATTTTTTACTTGGTACATTTTAGCAATGTGTATCAGATTTTAGTAGATAAAAATATCCTTATATATCATGGATTCTAAGTTTTAAGGTTAAAGGTATTTTAATAATTTTCATTCTCAAAACTTAAAAAAAAAAAACCCCCGAAACCCTTACTCACATCATTCCTCTCAATCATTTCTCTTTCATCTTTCTCACTCCAACCTCTCTGTCATCCCTACTGTAGCTCCAATTCAAAAAATCAGAAACACTTGCCTTTAAAAAATTTGTCTTTGTAAAGAGTTGAGTCATTGACATATTCACCTTCAAACAAAGGTTCATTCAAGATCTCTTTAATTTCACCATCTTCACTAACTTCTCTAATTTCATCATCTGCATATGTTGAATCATCATCTCTAAAAAAATCCTTCAGGCCAATTACCAATTCTTTTGGATACAAAAATTATGAAATGAAAACTCATTATAAAGTCATTTTTTGTAAGAAATTGTTTAACGACTAGTGTTTCTGATTTTTTTCCAGGCCAATTACCAATTCCTTTGATATCATTATGCTTGTGAAAATTAAATAAAATTAGATAAGACAAAAATTATAAAATAAAAACTCATTATAAAATCATTTTTTGTAAGAAATTGTTTAACAGCGAGTATTTCTGATTTTTTTCAGGTCAATTACGAATTCCTTTACTCGTGAAAATTGGATAAAATTATAAAATGAAAACTCATTATAAAATCATTTTTTTGTAAGATTATTTAACGGCAAGTGTTTCTGTTAGAAATATTATATCTTTTATCTTTATCTTTTATCTTTATCTTTTATCTTTATCTTTTATCTTTATCTTTTATCTTTATCTTTTATCTTTCAGTTAGTTTGTTATTATTTCTTATTTGTATTTTGGGCTTAGCCCATATTTTTTCAATTATAAATAGAAAACCCTACGTGTGTTTAACACAAGGGAGATTAATCTCATATATAATTTTCACTATATTTAACATGATATCAGAGCAGGTTTTCTGATCTCTTCCGGTGGTCTTTGCTGTCTGCCGGCGGTCGGCCGTCATGGCCGCCGGCAGCCCCTAAATTCTTAAATCTCAGCACCCAGAACCAAAGAGAGAAGTCTCTTGGGAACCACTGCCTCCTCTGAACCAGTCTCCGCTCAATCGATCGCCACTGTCTGCTGCCACCGACCATATGTCGCCGGCCACCGTCATAGTTCCGACCGGTGACTAGTGGATCTGGACCGTCTCTTCAAGGGCGACCTAACCCTGGCCGTCGCCGTCTTTGTCTCGTTTGCATGCGCTGTCACGCGCCTCCACTCTCCGGAAGTAGATCTCGAACGCGTGTTCATCATGCGCCGCCTTCTCGGCGTCGGTATCAAACTGCGCCGCTGCCAGTCATCTCACCGAACCTCCCTCTCTCTGTTCAAACCTTCCAGAGCAGCCATTGCTGCCATCGACGTCTGTCTTCTTCTCGCCGCATGCTTCCGCATCTTCGGACCTCCTTCTTCTTTCTGCGTTTTTTTGTGCTTCCTCACTGTTGTAGAGGGTTTCGCCTCTGAGTTGCTGTTCTTGTCTTGTTCTTCCTTTCTTATTGTATCTGCCGCACAGATCTGCTGCGTTTATTGCCTCCTTCTCCGCTGCTCTTCTTCATCCACTTCTGAAGTTGAAGTGTTTATTGTCTCCTTCTCCGCTGTTCTCCTTCATCCACTTCTGAAGTTGAAGTGTTTATTGCCTCCTTCTCCGCTGCTCTTCTTCATCCACTTCTGAAGTTGAAGTGTTTATTGCCTCCTTCTACGCTGCTCTCCTTCACCCACTTCTGAAGTTGAAGTGTTTATTACCTCCTTCTCCGCTGCTCTCCTTCACCCACTTTTGAAGTTGAAGTGTTTATTGCCTCCTTCTCCGCTGCTCTCCTTCATCCACTTCTGAAGTTGAAGTGTTTATTGCCTCCTTCTCCGCTGCTCTCC